TGAAATGTTTGCGTTTCTAATATTAAAAATTCCCAGTTCTCCCAAATAAAATTTGTTCAATTTTATGTAATTCATTGTATTTATTTTGCAATGTGCCCTTAAAATCCCAGTGCGTGCTTTGCAAACGAAATATATTTTTAGATAAGAAAAACTCTGCATTTAAGCATATAGGTATTTTTGACAGCGGGTTGGTTAGTTCGCGAGTTAAAAGTAATGGAGAGCAGCCATAATATTAATCAATACGTTTTAAGGTATTAACTATATACTGGAATAGAAAGAAAATCCATAAAGCCGTTGTAGGGTGGAAGTTATTGGATAAAACAGTAAAGACTGAGTAGGTCTGTCGCATTCTTTAAATTATGTTTAGCATTTAGCATTAAATTATATTTATATATTTAAATTATATTTAATGAATAGAAAAAGATATCAGATAATTGGGGCTGTACGAATATCCGCATCTTCTCTGACGGCATCGTAAAGGAAATTTATCGGATAGAGCCATTCGATCCATGTAAACACCCCAAACGGCTAATTTTCTGCCGATTTTACACACGGTTCGTGACAAATCTGCCTCCCATGGCTTTTACGCCTTCAAATCGTTGCAATGGAACATACATTTCATTAAAGATATTTTCGAACAATGCGACACACTTTAGACGGCCGCTAATAGCCATAAAACTCGTTCAGCTGAAAAGTCGTCAAAATCAGTGAAATTACTTAAAACTGAAATTTGATTGAAAATCTCACGGGTTGAAGAAAACATTTTACCAGAACAAGCTGGTCGTTTTTGTCAAATGTTATTTAGAGATCCAGTTCTTATCTATTGCCACAAGAAATAATTATTTTTACATCAATTTGCTTTTACGGTTTCACTGTTATTGATGCGCTATCGAAATTAATATGCCTACAAATTACGTTGACATTTTTCATAAGTAAACAAAATTAGCTCTCGTTTTCTCGATTTATCTAGACGAATTTCAATAGTAAATAATAATACAATATACAATAGCAAAAATCTATATGCAAAAAAAAACAAATCCCATGGATCGTGTGATATAACCAAAACCAACTGCTAATAATCCACAAATGCAAAACTTTTTTCTGTCGTCCCAGGGCAACTGGGTCACATCTGTGTTGGCTAGTTTACAATAAAAAATCTGCCTAACACCCAACACAGAAGACAAAATCCTTCCGGTGTATGCAGAAAACTTCTGTGTCGTGTCGTACGTATAGAAAAGGCAGAACAATCGTATATCCATATTGCAAATAATATAGAACAAATAATAATTAGAACAGGCGATGATAGCGATAGTGATACTGATATATTATGTGAATAATTTTAAGTAATTTAAGTAGATAATAAAAATAATTTGTAATTTTATTTTAGATATAAATATAAATAAATAAATGTTGTTTAGTATCTTTCCTAACAAAACCCCAAATAATTAAATTCTCGGCCATATTTCATTCTTACAGATTGCCCGGGTCTTTCCTTAATTTGGACTCTTATATCTATGAACAAACTTTACCTAACAACGAAAGATTGACCTAATAACAATGACCTTACTCTACTAAAGCTAATGCTTACAAATTAGAGGAGGTTTATATTATGTTTTAATATCATTAAATCATTATAACCACTACTGAATAATTGATATTTAATTTATTTATAGTCCCGACATCACCGATATATCGATATTTAAACACTGCAATGCAGATTTTCGTCTTTCAAATTCACCGGATGTGGCGTGTAACGGATCTCAAATAACTTCTACTTCAACGAACGAGAATTTAGTGTTCTGAGAACGAATTATAATCTATAGCTGGCTGGAATAATAAATTCAAATCATCATTGTTTCCGATTAGTTGTATATAATAACGGTAATGCATAGAGGAAAACCCAAAAGGCTTAGCAACAATTTTTTATTTGGTATAATTCCAATTTTGTAATTGCGAAAAACTCCTGCCCTGTTCAACCAGTTTTCTATTATATGGTTATTTCGCATTTAGTAGGATCAATCGCAAACACTTGCGATGAGATGCATGAATCATTAATAAATAGCAGACTCATTATCAAGCAAGATGCTTTCAAGGAAACTTACTTATTTACAAAAACGCAAAAATCTATTAAAGATGACGGTGATTTTTAACATCGACTCCTGAAATATTGGCAACGAGAGGGAAGCATGGCTTCAAATACCGCAGAATAAAAATTTTTTGTTTAAAGTAATAAAACACAGGGAAGTAACTACAGAAAAAAAATATTTTCATCTTAAAGTCAACTGGAAGTTTTGCAAACCAAAACATTTCGCAATGGACCGATGATCATCATTTTTATCTAGCGGTTTTTATAGATCGTGACTCCGCTTAGCCCGCAGTTAAAATCGTTACTAATTTCGCTATTTGTAAACCTGTCTTTAGTTAATTGGGATAATTACTTAGCTCCGAGACCGTCTTTCTTATATTGAACATGACGGCTACAAGAATTTGCTTATAACCATAAATGTGTAGTGTAGGTAGGTGGTACACCAGAAGAAGTATGATGCAGTACTAACCTACAGGTACCGACATTTTCCCGTTCAGTTTTCGCAAAGTTATGCCGATAAATTCATTGTAACATCGAGCAATATGTTTTTATCAATATGGGTAACAAGTTTACATGTTATAAACCCGAAATCTCAATACGGCGTGAATTTAAACGGCATTTTCGTCAGCGAACCGGTGTTAGTTTTATTCCCAGTAAAAGTGGAAATGTAAATGCATAACTGAATAATTAAAATAAATTCCTTCTAAGTTTGTCACCAGAATGGACTGTGTGTAATCAAATTTAAGTTTGTTACACAATTTTAGGGAAATACCGGGTTGTAGAATTCGTATTGATTTTGACCAGCCCAATCAGTGAATTTTTTTATCGGCCGAAAAGTCGCACCTTATTTTCAACAATGGCGTGTTGAAATTTTCGAACAAAGGTGGTTCTCAGGCGAACTCTAATTGTAAACAATTAACAATATTGCGTGTATAAAACACAAGTACTCTCCAGTTGGCAAAAAATTTCGATACCTACGCATCGACAAAAATATTTATTTATAATTAGGCATGAAATAGGAGACGGATTGTAAATGTAAATTTAAAATTAGAAAATAATAAATAACAATTTAATTTTAATGTTGAAAATATTCTTCTTTTAAATGAAACAAGACGGAGAGGGCTTGAAAGGATTAACAAACCAATAACGAACAATTTGTATATAAAACGAGGGTATCTAAAAAGAAAACTCAACACCTCAAAAAATATAACAGCTGTTTTACATGATTTTTTATGTTCGTATAACCTTAAAGTTCGTTGCACTTAGTTGTATGGTTATTCATAAATGAAGGCATATTGATTCATTTCAACCATTTTGAGATAAGAAAAAATACGATTATTAGCAAATGAGTCAATATGTTAGCAAGTTTAATATAATTTATTGTGTTGTATGCCTGATACGATATCTTCTGCTTTATTTTTAGAACTTTCTTCTGTGTATTGAGGTCGGGCATCCGATCGCATCCTTGCATTCCAGTAAAATCCTTATTAAAATTAAATACAATCCGTCGACACAATAAATCCTAACAAACTGTGAAGAAAAGAGAAGCTAATTATTCTCTAAAACGTTAAAACACGGCACGTAAAAACAAATAGACGTTTTAAAAACCTCCTCAGACTAACATGAATATTTTGAGGTTGGTGTGTGTCGTGCAATGCGATAATTGATGTACCCATGGTGTAAAATTAGTATTTTTTGATTTAATATGCACAACAGATTATATCCGGTCGGTTTTTATTTCCTAGGCGTGCATACTACTGCTTTGTTTAATAATGCTGAGAATAAAAAGATTTAAAAGCAACTAACGGTATTCAAAATAAATATGCATAGCTTCAGATATTAATTCTAGTAACATCAAATGTGTTGTGTTATTACCAATATAGGGGACATCATTTTATACCACTCAGAAATTATCAGTTAACAGCTCCCACAGAAAGCGAAATATTTTATATATATTTATATATAATGTGAAAATGCAGCTCTCTATCAAAGTAGGAATACCTTCGTGCTTAATTCGTCTATGTAACGGTCATTTGATTAGCTGCACTTCAAAGTAATCTGCACGCTTTATACTTCATGTAAATTCACACCATGCCCGGGATGCTGCTCTGCCCCGGCAGCGTCATAGGGAAAATTGGAGAAAATTTAAATGAAGGCGGATACAATGCTTTGAACGCGAGCTTATCGATCTGTATAGAGTTGAATAATGCTTTTTTTTTAATTTGCTTTAACCGTGCCACTCCTATGACCTTTACCATTTTAACCAAAATCGAGATTAGATATTGTAACTTTATATTTAAATCTGTATCTTTCCATAAACTCTATTTAAAAACGAATATTAATGAGTACAACTGTTGAAATTGTATGGGCATGACTCATTCCGGATAAAATATTCAGGTAAAAACGTTTTTCGGGTAACAATTTTAAACTGGGTTTTGAAGAGAACGTATAGACTCGCAGCAAATAAAAACTCGGGGACAATGGGCATTGCTTTACCCACTACAAAGCAAATTACGTGCAAATTAAACGGCATCTCGTTAATTTAAATGGCAAATAACACGCTCAATGAAAATTGCGTTCTAAAACTATTTTGTATTCGGATGAATATACAATGGCCTCGAATAGGCTTGTTCCTATTGTCATTTAGAAATCGATCATCGCGTCGCATTCATACTTTTGGGTAGATAATTTCATTAACTTTGTTTGCTTTCCAATCAGCTCTCTGGAATTGTTCAACTTGCAAAAATATGTATTTTTAGTAGCATTTGGCAAAGCGTAATCTAATAAAAGTGATGACAACAGGAAAATGAGTTCATGATGTCACTTTCCGCTTTTGCCGGTCGAAAACGTCAAATGAAATTTATTTTGTGTGTGCAACAGTGGAGGTTCTAAATGAAACAAAAAAACATCCACTTATTTTTTTTTATTATAATACGTATATATCACAAATCCTTTTTGGCTCTCAGAACACACATTCTATCGGCAACATTTTGATTACTTACAAAACATGTATTAGTCCTACAAGCACACATTCCCGAGCACGCATCACTTTTTGATTGAAAACTTTTTATGATACAAACACAGATCTCTGATAAAATTATGTTATATACAGGTGAGCTCACATGATTTATGGAACCGTTGATGATGGTATGTAACTGCATATCAGTTGGTTTGGCAAAGTTGGGACCCCTGGTTGAATTTGGAAAGGGCTAGTCGTGGCATGGGACGATTTAGGCCGTGTGTAGAATCCCATGCATCAGTTCCCGGTTGATTCATTTGGTTTCAGGCACTATCATTATTCTAGTTCTTACAGTAAATATGATCAGTTTAAAAAAACTAGTAAGTAATATTGTATGCATCATTTGTTTACGAAAAAGGTTTCCTTTTGTTCAATGTATAAAAATATAGATATTGTGCAGATCTAAGCCATTGAAGAATACTTGAGATGAGCATTTACAACAAAAATCCATAATCAAAGTCCATAACAGTTGACAGTCAGCACAGTTAACGCAAATCGCTTGTTGCAACACGTTCATTGTTCCCATAAAAAATAATTGAGGCCACCTTAGAGCACAGTACAACAGCAGTAACTTTTCTTTTCCTTTTCGGGACTAAAGTTCATTTCTCTGACTATTTCGGCAAATACCTCGTTCACGTTGGTCCTATTTTTTGCACTAGCTTCGATAAATGGGCACCCCCATTGTTGGGACAGTGCTTTTCCTTCTTCAAAGTCGACTTCACGTTGATGTTCGAGATCAACTTTGTTGGCGACTAGCAGGATCGGCACTCGCTCGGTACCTTTAACTCTCGTAATGAGCTCCTTCATAGGACGGATATCCTGGAAGGTTTGGTGATTTGTGAGACTATAAACTACCACAAACCCTTGACCATTTTTAATGTAGAGGTCGCGCATACTGGCAAATTGCTCTGTACCTGCCGTATCTAAGATTTCCAATACGCAAGGTGAGTTATCGACTTCGATCTCTTTACGATAAAAATCCTCAATAGTAGGATCATACTTTTCCATAAAACAGCCGGATACGAACTGTACAGTCAGTGCACTTTTCCCAACCCCACCCGATCCGAGGACGACTACTTTAAACTCACGCATTGTTTTGTTCGAAATTTCCTACGACTTAACCGAACTGTTTTTTAATTTGGCTATTGCACAACACCGATTTCGCTTGACTAAAATTCTCACTTTTCGATCGGTCCTTTATCACATTTCTGCAATCCATTTCAATAAACAATTAAACGCAACATATCGCCATCTTAGACGAACAACTCATCTCACCACAGTGTTTTCTAAGCGTAGAGCCACGAGGAACCAACGGCTTGCAAAGGAGGCCTTGGTGTGGGACAATCTTAAGCTTGCGCACAAAAGCCGCAAAATTTCTCAATAATCGACCATGTCGCGCGATCTATCGCTTATATGCGGAACAACCACAGTTAGGTGCCGCACTGTCCACTAGGTGTGTACGAATTCTAATTTATCGGTACACCGGGCTTAAACACGTTACAGAGTTCTACAATTTTTGTTTTTGAAGATTTTACATTTACAAGTTTTCGTGATAGGTGGCGAGCGTCACTCTTTTGGAAGTAATTCAACGCGCGAAATTCCCGATATTTATTGAGTTTTTTTTTCAAATATATAATTGTAATATTCACCATGTGAGAAAAAAAGACCACTCCCATCATATTTCTCTATTCTCGGAGTTTCAGTCAATGGTATCTTAAACTGTTTAAATTTGTTTAGTAAGATCGAGTGACTGCTCCATCATACGGTTACGTTTCACTTAGGGTCGGTCATTGACTGGAAAATAGACATTTTTAATTCTAAACCTATTTTCATTACCGCTAGCTTTAGTTTTCATTATCCATTGTCATTAACCCATTTACTGGAAAGTCAATATTTTTCAATGCTAGTTTTAATTGTATTACCTATTATTTAATTTTCATTATCTATTGTCGTTAACCCATTAACTGGAAAATGGATATTTTTTGAAGCTGGTTTGGATAACGGATGGAGGTTTCACTGAACCGGTTATATAAACAAACAATAAACAAATATATAAACATTTTATCCAGTTGGATAAAGCGTAGGTAAACTGATCCTGACCCCACAATTTTTTAATCGAAAATATCGACTATTGACAACAATTTTGACAATTCGACATAATAAAACCCCAAGTTGGTATCTCCCTCCGCCACTGGAATACCGGACCCGACCGCGATTTATTTAATTATTTAATTAAAAAAAGAAAGCCACTGCCCCTTACGAAAAATATTTATACCAGAACAATAAAAAAAACGCCCGGCGCGTCTGGATTTAGAATGAAATGTTTCACCTTTACTAGAAAGACGTCCTCGTTCTATGCGCTCGTTACGTTTCTTGGAAATGTGAATTAAACTGATATATAATGAAGCAAAAACATTTTATTAGATAAACTCCATATATGTTAAGGTAATATTTGAATTGTATTATTTTATACTTATCCTATCAAGTTCAGCCCTCGTATGAAATGCGTTATTTCGTGGGCCCATATGTCCTTAAAATTCTTAAGCTCCGGGATGGATATCGGCCTCTAGTTTTGATCATCCGCCCCGCAGGACAATATATCCTGCGCTCACGTACTGAATTTGTGCATGTTGTGTTTCAGGGTGCTGTGTCCGGTATATATTCCTATCGAGGCTTTCGAGTTTCTCAGTTGTGCGTTTCTTCGTGGGATGTTCTATTAATGTCTTTTAATGGACCAATCCTGGACCAAAAATAGTCAATATCGGTGACCTTCCTCCCTCCTTCCGCGGTAGTGTCCGCGTATTCATGTCAGGGAAGCATTCTTCCGCATAGCTAGATGATATATATTTCCGTTTGGAATATGCTGAGATAAGAACGAACGCCCATCTTTATTTCCGTCTTTGGATTTTCCCCATCAATGCCGACCCCAACACCCCTTCATTATTCATCAGTTTTGGAACGGTCTGTCAACCAACAGTGTCCTCTCCTCGGCAAGTCAGTCTTGGTCTGAAGCCACTCTTCCCTGTTTGAAAAGAAAAGTGTTTCAAAATTACGCGATTTCACTGATTGCGTTTCTAAACATTTGCGATCTTTACAACAACTAAAAAAAACTTGTTTATTTTGATATTTGGTAAATTGTCCGTAATTTCAGGTAAAACCAAGCACAAACGATTTGAACTGAAGTTTCCGTACGTAAAGCAAATAAAAACATCACATTTGTGTAGAATGATTAGACCTGAGACGGTGACAGTAGTCTTAGATTTGTCTAGCTACAGACAGTCCACAAGATCAGCTGAAATAAAACTCGATTGGCAACCACAATCTAGTGAATATTTTGAAATTAATCAAAAATTTCTACGCTGGCTGTAGAAAGCAAAATTTCACTTGTTTCTAACAAAGAAGAAGATAATACAACTTTATTTGCTTCGCTAGAACGACTTCCTCCTTCGAGGAATCGTTATTTTGATTTGCCGAGACGCCACTGGAATTTTTAGAATTTTCAAACGCGCTGGTAACATGCAGCAGTGTTGTGCCGCCTATTACAACGTCTGCAAGAACCGAATTTGCAAACTTTCTTGAGACAATTAGAACATAAATGAGCTTTTTCCACAAAATCATTTCTCTGGTTGACCGAAAGTTTGAGGAAATTTTCAAATTTGTAAATTAAATGATCACCTTTACAGTAGACGCATTTGAGATTTGCAGCATAAGAACTGCCAGTATTGCCTTGAATATCTTTGAATTTGGATTTTTTTTTTTAAATTTTCCCAAGTAACCTTGTTACTAATTTTGTTTTGCTAACACTCTCTAGTTTTGTCTAATTTTGTAGTGATTAGATAAATAATTATTGTGTCCCAATGCTCGGTGGGCTCTTTTACTTGTTGTAAAGATCGCAAATGTTAAGAAACGCAATCAGTGAAATCGCGTAATTTTGAAGCACTTTTCTTTCGAATAGTGTCGATAGAAAACAAAGCCTTCACGTGAATGTGTGTTAAAAGTTGATTGTTATTGTAACGCTCGCATAGCGTATGCCACGCAATTCTCGGAAGAGAGTTCAATTGAACGAATAACTTCCGCGGTGTTCAATGCTCAGTCGAGTGCTATTCTCCTAGATGTTAAACATAGGCTGAAAGTCCTGGCTCAGAAAGGTTTCCGAATCTCTCAATAATAATAATAATTAAATTGTGGATAGGGTGGCCAACCAAGTTAGAGAGAATGTTCTATTGGAATTAAAACCTTATTTTACTGAGTTTTTTTAGAGTTGTTAAAAATAATCTATGGATTTCCTGGTCTTTAAGATGGAGAAGAATGGGTTTTCATGGATTGAATCTCATCAGAAAAGAAATTACTACTATGTGGAGATTAAGAAGTAACCACTGCTGTTATCCGGTCCACCTATGCAGGATAAACGTAAAGGCAAATAACTTATGTGAATGCGGAGAAGTAGGAGATCTTAATCACATATTTATTGATTGTGCGAAGCATCGGAACTACTCTCAATCCCTTTATAGAGACCTGATTAATTCTCATGTTCCCTCTCCTATTTCCTTGGTACTTGCTATATTTTCTGTGAATAATTCGGAACGCGTTGCTAAGGCATGTGATATCCGCTTGTAAATAGACTTGTGTGCATAAATTTTAGACTGCTTAGTGACACTTGAAAATAGACTTCATTGTGCAGGAGCTTCCCTCGACGGTAGTCGGCAATGGGCGAATGTCCTTGGTTGACGTGCCCACTTTAAGGAAAAGCAAAGAAGAACTTCCGCGGTACCGCCTTCCATATTTTTGAATGTCACTCATGGCCACGTTCAAATGTATTAGCGACTCAAAGGTGTCCCTGAACTCAAGCCATTGACCGTCAAATTTTGGCAAATTTATTGTCGGATATTTTACACCCTTCAATTGAACGTTTGTAGCATGAGTCGGGCTTTCGCTAGAACTTCCGTCGGACAGGATTTGACATTTACTTAAAATCAAAAATTTTGCTTTCGAAATTGTTGAATAAAACGCATTTTCGAAATCCTCGCGTTCTTTGTATAAGATATCCAACCCATTTTCATCTGTAACTAACTCGAGAGCTGTTTGATGCGCGTCAAAATCGGCCAAAATTTGCTCTGCGCTCCGCGACATTTAAAGCATCTGTTCCCTCGAACGATTTTACAAATTTGTCAAATGCGGTTAATTTTGCCTTCACCGAACCCCTTTGCCTATTTAGCGATCGCTTTCGCTCATCTGCCATTTTTTAAATGAATAAAATCTTTTTGTTTTGTTTTTACAATGAAATATAAAGTTTTACTTCTATTGTTGGTGCAAATAAAACTTTCGTCGCAAGCAATAAGCAAAGGAACGTGTGGATAGTGAATTGGAACCGACTCACAGTATTTCTCGTCGAACTGCCGATGCCGCCTTTTTGATCCTAGCCGACTGCTCGCCCAGACGGCGCGGTCGGTGCTTGATGTCCTGCTAGTCTTTTTTTTTTAATTTGCCTGTTGATTTGGCCACTGTTTTCACTTTGAATTGCAAACTGCATCGGGTCGATGGACCAAACTTTCTGTTATAATGTTAGTGGACCACTAAAACCACTTGTTACATTTTATTTGGACTTTCGCACGGGCGATACATTCGCTACTGCGTGTCAAATAGTACTGAAGGGGTTGTGGCTTGCTAGCCGCTTTAAGACATAGGCAGCGGTATCAGCTTTACAATATATAGGTTATACATTATTGCCACAGCGATAATAAGAAAAACTATTTGTTTTCTAAGTCCTTAACAAACTCGTTTACTGTAAAATGGATATTCTTTAACGCTAGCTATAATTTTGGTCATTAACCCCTATTCGAAATGATCTTGCTGGATTTTCTTTTTACTACCTACCTATTTGCATGAAAATTGATATTTATATCGCTAGGTTTCTCAATTACTATCCAATATAATCAGCCCAATTCTGGAAAAATGCTAATTCCGCTAAAATTCTACGGTGGGCAGGATCGATTTACACATATATATTAAGTATTACTTACTTGAGAAAATCTCACTCCTGATTTGACCATACGACACCACTCGGTTCATTTAGGATCACCTTGTGGGAAGCCTCCTTCTAGCAGAAAGATTTTATGATAATACCCACGGAAAATAAACATGGAAAATTAATATATAATAATATATTTACAATTTATTATAAAATTAATATATATTATAATATCCTTATTTTGTATTACCCAGTCCAATTACCCTTCGCTTTAAACCCAACCACTACACATTTACTGGAAAATGGATATTTTATAACTTTGTTTTTATTTTTATTAAATTTACATTGAATCAAAAAATTTTAATTTTCATCAAATCAAATCCATTTACTGGAAAATGGATATCTTTTTGCGTAAAAAATATAATTAAAAATGAGGATCTCACTTAAGTAAGTTCATTTTATACGTAAAAAAGTCTTAAATTTTGACACTTATCTTTAATTTTTATAACCTATCCATTTACTAGAAAATGAATATTTTTTGCGTAAAAAATATAATCAAAAACCTGAAATGTGGGCATTTAGCTTTAATTTTTATAACCTACCCAATTACTGGAAAAAAAATCTTTCGAATATAGCCTAACTTGAAAGCCTCACCTAAGTAGCAAAGTTTTAAAACCAAAGATACAAAATTTTAATTTTCGTGACCTAGCATTAGCATAATTTACGTGAAAATGAATATTGTGGATTTTTCTCACCTCTTTTCGCTATTGACTACACCCTGAACGTGTGATCGCTTTTCAGAAAGAAAACTCCCAAAACCTACAGTGGGTTGAGTGTTGCTACCCGCTAAACTGCTGTTACAAGTGCTCTGCAGATCGAGTTGTCTATCCCTATCACAAAAATAAATAAAAATATATTTGAAGTTCACTTTATCTCAGCGAAATACCTTTTAAATTTAAAGAAGCTCCTTCTAATACGGACTTGCATGCTTATTCTTGCGGCTCTTGTTGAATTAGAACAAAATAAGACGGCTGCGACCGATACTGCAACAAAGAAAACAAATTACAAATAAGTTATAACGGCATTAAAAGCAAATACAAAAGACTAAATAACAAGCCAACTTTTCAAAACTTGTAAAAATCCCTTGTTTCTATACGAGGCAATTATTTTTTTTATAGAGACTAAATTTATAAACGAAATATAATAATTAGAATGTTTCCTCCACAAACGTTTTAAAACAATAAATAGACGAGGGCGACGCGCTTCCACTTCTAGAAACATATAGAAACAGTAAAGCAGATTAACAGGAGGAAATAATCACGTATATCAAACGTCGATTTGAAACTAGCAAGTAAAAATCCGAAGAGGGACGCATCCAAAATTACAAATCCTCGGGAGCCTACTTTCACCAACCAAACCTTTTGAAACTCAACACACAAACACGCAAGTTTAAAAAAAAAACAGCACTAGAAAAATGCGAACATGAGACTCACCCGAAAAGAGAAAATTTCCTTATGAAATATAAATCCAGAATCCAACGCTTCTCAGAAACACTCTTATTTTCTATTTTCACAATACGACAATATAAATCCATCAATTGCACCAACTCTTAGTAACATATAGTTAACAATAACATTATGAAATAAAATAATATAAATGAAAAATTTTCATGAGGTAATTTCTTAGAGCCCGCACTTCGTTTCAGCAAACATGAAGACGAACAAAATGTACTAATTTGGAATTTCATTGTCGTTTACCACTAGTCAACCAATAGGATTGCACGATTGTCGCGCATGGCTACTTGGAATTCGGGAGCAAAACTGAAATTGTCTACCTATCCCAAAGGTATTTGCCACCTGCTGTAACCACATTGTGTTGTTTAGATAGATAAAGTAAGTAAAATGAGAGTAAAGCGAAAACTGGATACCTACTTAAATTTTAAAGCAATGCATTGCCAAATATGAATCAGCTATAGCAATATGTAAGGACCTATTGACCCTCCCGGGTGTACGTATTAACACAAAAGAAGGAATTCCTACTGGTTATATTAAATCGCACCCCTGCATCCTGAACGGTATTGGATGAACTTCCAAGGGGCGGTCGCTAAGGGTAGGTAAATAACATGGACCACGGCACAAGGGGTTGATAAAGCGCACCGCCCAATCTCGGTGCCACCAATTCGGAATTCGCTTTGTAGTTTAATTCTTATTTATTATTGCTATCTCGAAAATCCTGTAGAACTTTCACACAACTTTTTCGGCACACCGGGAAGCCATCAAATGGGCCCTTCATTAATAGTTTTCAAGATTAAAAGAAAGAGTTGCCTTTATTAGAAACACAACAAAAAAAATGACTAACCAATGCGACAGCAAAAATAACGTTCGAAGATTTTAAACAGCTTCACTGAAAATTATACTAAACGAAAACACTTACCAGGGCATTCAAGGTGGGTGAATGACTTTATTGACAACTCTGGGTAATTTTCTTCACAAATTAACGATTTTTTTTAAAGGAAAGCACAAAAAACGACAAACAACTCGAACCACTTTCCCTAATGTCGGTAAAGACGCGCACGCGCATATCAACCACAAATAAATACCAACCGATTAAATAGGGATTTTGCTGCAAATTACCCGCTGTCCCCTTTTCGCATTTGTTAAAAATTGCTGGATTCATCTAAGAAGAAGAAAAAAAAGAAATGGAAACCTGTAAATTTTAACTTTATATCGAAATAGGACACTTAAATTGGCGAGAACGGGATCATCTACCTCAGTTTTTTTTATGAGTTATAAAACATGAATTTTTAATTATTATATTAATCAAATTAAACGCACCGACAAAATTGTGTTATTAAACGGAAAATCGAGTAATTCGCATTCTCAATATAAGAGCGTCTTGGACAGGTAACATGCATTGAGCGTCACCTTCGTATATCCATCCCAAAGCCCGCCATATAGCGCCAGTACACTTGATAAACATTAGGGCGTCACTGGTATACGTTTTTCCATATACTTGTTCACTTTTAAAGCGTCACCAGCGTTGCCGCGTTTGTTCTTTCAAAAAGTGCCTAATTTTTTTAGACATTCTCGACGTTAACTTGTAACGTATTTATATGAGCTCCAATTAAAAAATACCCCCACATGACATTTTCATTTTTTGGTTAGTCTGGCGTGGAAGCATTTCAATTGTTTTTTACGAATTTTTCTAATCTATCTGTCAACAGGAAAGAGTTGAATTTTAAGATGAAAAACGGTCTAAAATTTTTTAGAATGTTTGAATGTTTTAGAACCACAGAGTGTTGAAAATAAAATTTAGCAAAAATAAAAAATTTTTCAAAGAAAATTCCGCAAACTACAACATCCTCTTGATTCTTCCGAGTTTAACTGAAACTGGCTAGCATTTTATTTAATCTATACCTGCTTATATATTGTTTGAGGGGCGGAGGAATTGAAGGAAGGGTATGAACAAACGTAATTTGGTCTTTGACGGATAGAAGAGGTTTTTGGACATGTGGTAAATCAGACTCGCGGGCGTCCAAGCACTTAGGCCACCAGATGGGCCCGTTGTGCCCCCAGGCCGCTCTAGAGGGCGTCCAGAATGCCGCCCCTCCTGTAGAAGGTCAGCAACTCCTTTAGCCCAATACCGTGCACTGAGTCTGGATCGATCAGGGCCGGGACTACCAATCTTGCCCATGTCAAGGCAGGGCACTCGGTGAGCAGATGATACGGGGTCTCCTCCCCTTCCATGCACCACCTACACTCCGGGTCGTCTCCAATGCCTAGCAAGCAAAGATGCCTCCTAAGCCTGCAATGTCCTGTGTAGGCCCCTGTTAGTGCTCTACACTCCCTTCTGGTCAGTCTAAGCAGCTCCCTGGTCCGAGGAAGGGCGGGCCCATCCATCATAAGCCTCGCCTGCCTCATTCCCGGAGCAACTCTCCAGCCCCCCGCGGCCCGGTCTCTCGCCCAGGCTTCGAGAGTTCCCCGCCTCACACACGGGGCGATCCCCAAGCGGGGCTCTGGCCCTATATGCCTATGCGAGGAGCCCTCCCTGGCTAAGGCGTCCGCTGCCTCATTGCCCCGGATACCGGTGTGACCCGGGACCCAGACCAACGTGACCTTTTTCTCCTCAGCCACCCTCCTCAGTACCCCTTTGCACTCCTTTATCAAAAAGGAGCGCGTACGCACTGACTTCAGCGCCATGAGTGCAGCCCTACTATCCGAGCAGAAGAAGACTCTCCTGCTTCCGTAGATGAGCCGAAGCACCTCTCTGGCCGCCATCAATAAAGCGAAAATTTCCGCCTGAAACACAGTGCAGTACTGACCCAGAGGGACCGACAAGCTTGATCCCGTTGTCTCGCAGTACGCTCCGGCCAGATCTCCCATTCTGGACCCGTCCGTGTACCATCCCAGGAGCCGACTCTGCCCTCTCTCCAATCTTCCCTTAATGGAAAGAGAAAGGTCAATTTATCAAAGAAGGTCATCTCGGGGATCTTGACGTCACTCGGCATGCCCATGACCCCGCGATCCACGCGACAGCCCTCTAAAATGTCGTACGGACCCCGATTGAAGGTTCCCTCCCTTCAGAGCCCGCAGCTCGCCAGCCTCACAGCTGTCCTGGCCGCCTCCATCTGCACCCGATCCGCCAGAGAAGGCAGCCCCACCAGAGCCTCCAGGGCCCTCGTGGGCGCCGTTCTCATGGCGCCCGTTATGCAGAGGCAAGCCAATCTCTTCAGTCTGTCAAGAACTAGCCTTGCTCCCGCTGTTTTGGTCCCCGGCCACCATGCCACTGCCCCATGCGTAAGCATAGGCACTACCATGGTACCGTAGATCCACTGCATGATCTTCGGCCCCAGGCCCCAAGTGCCCCCTACCGCTCTCCGGCACGCCCACAGAGCTCCAAAGGCCGACCTGGTCCTTGATCTTATATGTTCCTGGAATGTCAACTTAGAGTCCAACCATACGCCCAAGTACTTGACACTTCCGCTTGCAGAAAGAGGCACCCCATCCATCGAAATGTTGAGGTTGCACTCCATCTTCCTTTTCCTAGTGAAGATGACCATCTCCACCTTGCCAGGATTGACAGCCAGCTGGCTGTCCAGGCACCATTGTGAGAATCTTGCCAATGCCCCGTTCAGGAGCCCCTGCATTGTCCTCACGTCCGTCCCCTGCGTCATTATCACAAGGTCGTCTGCATATGCCTGAGCATACACCCCGTGTTCTTCCCTCAGAATATGCAATATCTCGTTCACCACTAGGCACCACAGGAACGGGGACAAGACCCCGCCCTGTGGACAACCCCGTGATGAACCGATGGAGACCTGCTCCCCACCCAGTCTTGCCTCGACCCTCCTGTCGGTTAGCATGGAGCGGATCCACCTTACAATGGCCGTCCCCACTCCAGTACTTTCCACCGCCCTGCAGATCGAGTACAGGGCCGTGTTATTGAAAGCCCCTTCGATGTCAGCGAACACGCACACCGACAGCCGTCCCGAGCCCATACCCAACCTGGAAGTCAAGATGGTGAAGAGCTGAGCCCACAGACCCGCCACTTCGGTACGCATGCTGAGCTGGCTCTAAAGGGGCCTCCAGCTCCACCCAGTCCCTCAGATACCGGTCCACCAGTCTCTCCAGAGTCTTCATAATGAAGCTGGTGAGGCAAACAGGCCGGTACGACTTCGGGTCCGTGTAGTCACTCTTCCCTACCTTGGGAATGAACACTACCCTGCTGTGTCTCCACAGCTCGGGCACGTACCCCCTTGCAATGGAGGCTCTGAACAGGTCCATCAGCGGGCTGGTCAGGAGACCTCCGTCCCTTTGAAGGGGCCAAAGCTGTTAATAGCCCACCTCAGCCTACTATGGGTAACCACCCTCCTTGCCGTGGCGTAGTCGCATCCAAGACGACCCCCGGCTTCAATATTCCCCCCCTGTGTCCGGATCAGCGGACCCTGGGAAGTGCGTGTTCAGCAACTGTTGTAGTGTGTCCGCTGGTCTCGCTGTGTAGCCACCGCCGGTCCTGCGGACCACCCCCAGTCTTCCCGCAGGGTCACTTCTGAGCACCCTAAGGAGCCTAGCCGCGTCCGGGGTATTCATTACTCCGTCGCAGTAGCCCCTCCAGGCCCTCCTCTGTGATGCCCGTAGTTCTTTTTTGT